GGGGGTCGCGCTGGGGGTGCGCCGGGGGTGCGCCGCGGGTGCGCCGCGGGTGAGCAGGGTGAGCAGTAGGACAAACGAGTAACAGGTACACTGATCAACCAAGTGCTGAACCGGTTAACACATCCAAGCGTGCAAGTGCAAGTTGAACCCTTGCAAGTGCACAACAACCATGTTGAACACCTGAGACTGTTTACTGGTTGAACAATTGATTTATCAGTGTATCACAGTGCTGTTTAATTTTCAAAAATGGCACATCAAATAAAGTAAGACTTGTTTATTACAGTCAGGGTTCCATCAGCACAAAAAGATTCAAACTAGACCAAATATGAGCAGAAAATTTCTTGATGAAAACTTGTACTCCATCCCTAAAACAAAGAAAAAAGTACTATTAGTAATGGAACATATGAAGCATATTATAATATGGCAACAGAACCCCCTACAAATAAAAATAAAATATCATCTTTGAAAAAAAAAGGTCACCAAATAAATCACCAAAAGATGAAAATAAATAGATAATTTAGTTAAAACCCTGATACTTTTGATTACAATTCAAGAGTGTTAAAAATTTCATAGTTATAAGGGTAACATAAATAGAACGCAATCCTGTTATCAAACAGTTGACTAGTTGAAACCAATGTTGGACCGAGGCTTCATTCTTGAAAGATCTGATCACTGTTTTCCAAAGCTTTGGAGATGTAAGGGTACATTGTATTTTCACTGAATACAAATAATATTTAGATGGTGATGATTGAGCTTTCACCAAAATTTATTTAGCAAAAGAATGCACTATGTGTTTGAAGGTAATTTTAAATTAAACACATCTAAGTTTTTTATTTACACTTGTTTATTTGTTTCACTGTAAAAAATGTTGGGAATTCTACTATACGCATGTATAGGAAATTTCCTATACATCGTATCGGAAGTGAAAATTCCTATAAATGTATAGGAATTTTCCTATTTGGGAAGGTGTGTATGGGAAAAGTACCAAGTGTATAGGCAAATCCCCAGAAATGTATGGGAAAATTCTGATACGTGTCTGGTAGGCATATTTACCTTAATATGTATAGGAAATTTACTAGATGATGACAATTTTCCTATACAATGTTCGGAATTTAAAAAACGGGCAAAGATATGCACATCTTTCTACCTTTCACATCTTGGTCGGCGCGGTCATTTTATGAGCTTATTTCTGACGCCTGACGCCACACCACACAGGGTTGGACATTTATTTAGCAGTTTAAACTCTGATAATCGAATTTCAAGTCAGGGCAGGCAGTAAAATTCAAAACTCGACATCAAAACATCTAGGAGTAAATCCCCAAAGCCGTGGGCTAGCCCCGGCACCGCGCCGACACCTGGCTGACCCTCTGGGAATGGCCCAGCGAGGGGCGGCGCGCGGCTCTGGGATGACCCAGGCTTGATGGGGCAGGCCTCCCAACAAGTCTCCGTGGTCTAGTGGTCAGCGTGACGGGATCGCAAGCCAGAAGTTCGGGGTTCAACTCTCCATCCGGTAAGGTATTCCATATTTGTATCAATGCTCACTTACTTAAATGAAATTACCGAAAGGCGGCAGGAAGGCGACAAGGAACGAGGGAAAACGGCTGGGAAGTGGTTGAAAAAAACTTTTTCTTTTTTGAGAGAGCATCGGGTGTATAGGAAAATTCCTATACATGTGTAGGGATAATGCCACACACACATAGTACATATCCTACACAGATGTATAGGAAAATTCCTATACTTGCATGGTGAGAATACTAACGCGTATGGTAGAATTACCACACGCTTGTATGGGAAATTTCCTATACATGTATATGTGAATTGCTGCAGATACATTTATAGGAAATCTACCATAGAAATTTTTTACAGTGTTGTTTTAAATTTTAACCAGGAAAATTTTTGCTTAACTTTTCTATAAATTTGAGTGACACCTCAATAATAACTATCCCAATATGGTTTTGGATAAAAGAAAGTACAATGTACCATTACATCCCCAAAGCTTTGGAAAACGTTCTTCAGATCCTTAAAGAAAGAAGTTTCGTTCTTTGACATTGGTTTCAACGTGTGAAACTGTGACTATAGAGAAAAATTTGCCACAGGACTGCAATGTATGTATGATATCCTAATAAATAATATATGTTTTTCTGTACTTAGGGTATAATTAAGTATAATCAGTATAAACTGACTACTGCATAATTATTTTATCTCTTGAAATAGTCACATAAACACAATAAAAGATAAAGCTACATATTTAGAGAAACGGAAGTACTGCTGCAAATTTTTTAGCTTTACTTTCTTGCAGCTCTGCTAACTAATAATCACTCTTGCAACACCCCTGAGTTTAAATAATTTTAAATAACCTACTGCTGCTTATTAACCATAAACTGACTTTACAGAATGTCTATTACTAAAGAGAATGGCTTGGCTTGGCTAACATGTACTCACCGCTTATCCGTGTGGCCCTGATCCATCTCACAGCAAGTTCGCAGTCTAGCCGCTGGTAAATTCAAATCCTCGTGATCCTGAAAACAGTCCAAGCAAGACAAAGTATTAAGAAAAAAAGGGGTATTATAGGAAATCATTTTAACATAAAAATGAAGCCATTGGAGGCAAAGATTTGAGAAAGGGGAGGGTTTTGAAAGTATAACAGCAATGAGATAAGATACATACCTTTGGAGTCCGGTGTAGTACAGTACAGTTGGGTCCACTGAGTAATCCAGCAACTTGCGCTTCACCAATTTTCTTGCAAAGCCTTCAAAGGGCATCCCACTCAAAATGTTGAATATGTTCGTGACCATTTCAGAATCAAAACAGCACAAATTGATAGAAAGCAGTAAGTAATGTTACACTGCCCAAGCAAAAGTTAGGTTAAACATTTGATTCTGTGAACTGACACCGTTCCATCTTTTCAATCACTTTGCTAATAGTAGTGCATGCGCACTTGACACCGATGCTCAACACGAATTATTCCAAGTGCTGAGATTCGACCAAGAAACTAAAAGATAAAGAAATTTTAAAAATGTTTGTAATCAGCCAAACACATGGCCGCCGCGCTCTAGCGTCACTCCGCCTGCTCTGCGCAGCCGAAACGTCTCCGACTCCGCCGCCCGCACAGTGGCGCGGTGGCGCGTAAATTCAAACGAAGTCAAAACTACATACAGAGCTCAAACTTGTTCAAGAGGGTTGAACAGGGGGAACATCAAATAATCTCCTTCATTTTGACCCTGATATAATATTTTGTGAGTTACTTTCGTTAAATTTTATGATTTCCCAGTTATTGAGGAAAAAAGGGGGGGAGGGGAGTGGGAGGACTAGCAAAGAAACTAAGTCCAAAACTTATGACGTTAATTTAAAAAATAAATGTCCTGTCATTTTGATATGTTGTTCACAATGTTCCAAATCGCCTAAAAAACTATTTTTTCAAAAGTCAACATTTTGGTCGACACTTAAAAAATTTTCAGAATAATGCCTCGTGAGTAGGGACTTTAAGTAAAGTAGTATGCCTGTCCCCTACTTTGGCCGGGCGAGTCGGGCTCTTCAGCAAAAGTGTATGCGACTGCCCGACTGGGCCGGAGCGGGCGGGGCAGGTATGAGGCCGCGCGGCAAGGACAATGGGGAGCGTCGGAGGCGGAGGGGTCCCTCGGTAGGGACCCTACAGCTCCCTACAGTTTTACTTACGATTCCAACAGAAAACGCCCCTTTTTAGCCGGACACTACGACTTCCCTACGACTTCCCTCCGACTTCAAGTAAAATATTTTTGCCACGGGTCGCGCAATCATGTGTACAGATGAGGGTGTAGTTCCTTTGTAATCCTTACGTATTCCGTGTGATACTTGACCAAATTTTAAACCATTGTCACTACATTTGGCCTTATTGTCCAAATTTATGGTGTTATAGCCAGAACTTTAACAAATTTCACGTGTAATCCCTGCACGGTAAAAAGAACATGTTGGAATTCAAGTAGATTCCTTGAAAACTGTCTTGAAAACCAAGTAGATCGCTTGAAATCCAAGATGTCATTTTTACCGTGTGTAATCACGTAATCCTGTGTACATCCTAAATTGAAGTCGTGACCCTCTCGTTTTTTTGTTGTTTTTTTTTTTGTCTCTTTTAAATGGGCGTTTAGTGAAGGTGCGCTACCCGGTTGAAGTGCGGGTCTTGTTGTTGAGGAAAATGAACGCGCGGCCGGTACGCGTGCGTGGCGCCGACTTCTCTGAATAAAACCAGTCGGTTATTATTGATTACTCGCCGCGCGAACCCATTATCTATCAATTTGAGTTCGCCTGGCGCGTCAAATAAGCTGGTTCCGCTGCCAACTCGCGGGTAGTTTTCACGGACAGAGAGAGAGAGAGAGAGAGACGGAGAGAGAGAGAGAGAGAGAGAGAGAGAGAGAGAGAGAGAGAGAGAGAGCGAGAGAGAGAGAGAGAGCAGGGGAGAGAGGAAGCAGCGCCTCTCAAACCCGTCCCGTATGGCATAGAGAAATTAATAGTATCACAACACGCGTACACTCCGCGGTCCCCCTGCAGCACTGTGTATGTGTGCAAGTGTGTGTGTGTGTGTGCGTGTATGTGTACAGGTGTGTGTGCGTGTGCGCGCCAACCACTTCCACCGCGAGTGTAGGCTTATCTCTTTTTCAAAGGGTTTTCGTGTCACTGTCTAGCGTCCAGCTATTTTTCCCGCTCGGTGCCGCTCGCAACCTCCTTCCTTCTCTCGCGCCTCTGCCGAGGGGGTCATCCGCCAAGGCGTGAGACCCGTGGTGGAGCTATACACTGTGCTGGCGACAAAGTGTGCATTGCATACTCGGCTCTGGAGATGTGGAAGTGTGCGAGGCTGTGGGACCCGTACATCCCCACATCACTGCAACCCCCGTATCTCCTCTCATTAGTAACATTGCGTCGAATGCGTTGTGTTTACTTGTCAAGTTTGCAATATCGGAAGCTTTAGTGGATCATTGAATCGGTAGGCCTACCATTAACGCTTTTACTTTTGGCCAGTATTTACGTTTTCCCAGACTCACCCCCACCCCATGGGGGCGACCACTAGACACAGTGCGACACCTCCTCCCACTCCCACTCTCCCCACTCCTCTCTCCTCCTCCCCCTTCTCCTCCTCATCCTCCTCCTCCTCCTCGGCGTCCTCCTTCCGGAAGTCCATCCGGAAAGCCGTCGTCGCCGGCCGCGCTGTCACCGGCTAAGCTCTCTGCCCAGACGGATAGTGGCCGCTTAGCCCCGCCGGCCTGCAGGACCCGCCCGCAGGACCTGCCCGCAGGCCGCACACATTTTGTCAGGGGCTGGCGGCCTGCTCGGTCAGCCCGGCCGGCCGGCCCTGCGTCGCTGATGGATAGCAGAGTATGGAAGTGGGATAATAGCGCAGTGCGTCTACTACACGGTGTCTGTCTGTCTACCTTCCCATCTGTCTGCCTGTCTGCCTATCTGTCTGTCTATCTGTCTGTCCTGTCCTGCCACCGCTTGTCCTCTCGCTTTATGGCGTGCGCTTTTGAAGTGGGGGCGTCTGCTGCAGCGCCGCGCTGCCCCCGGCTCGCTACCGGTTTGTTTTAGTAAATACTAACTAGCTATATGTACGCCAGACCACGTCTCGCGTAACAGGCTTCGCGATATTTCACGAAACACTGTTACGCTGCGACGCGCCTGGCGCACGTATAGCTAGGCCTGCGGCGCTGACACCCGAGGCGGGGTAATAGGAGTGTATATACAATTTTTCGAAATGAAGTCTTTTTAACGA